GCCGGCTCAGCTCTCTCCTCCTCCTCTTACACAGCCACTGCTTCCATTACAGGCCTCCCACCCTCATAACCTTGTCTAATCCCAGTGACCTCCCAAAGGCCCCACCTCCACATACAGTCAGCACATGAATTTGGGGATTAAGTTTCCAACACAAGAAGTTTGGGGTGGGGCACATTCAGACCATGGCACCACCCCATCCCAGCCAAACCCGGAAGATCCCCCACTGATGGCAGACTGGTGAAACACAAAATAAAGAGCTTGTCATTGCAAGCACTGCATTAAGGGCGGCCTGTCCCATGGGACTATGGCAGCATTAGCTGATCCCCGGGGTTATGTGTAAGATGGAATTTGATGCAGCCTCTTTTGGGCTGATCAGCTCAGGTAGGGTGAAGGGAGGTCCCAAAAGATTTGTCTACCCAGAATCTGCAGGTGACCATATTTGGGAAAAGCTCTTTGTACACAGTTAAGAAACTCAAGATGAGATCATCCTGAATGAGGGTGGACCTTAAAGCCAGAGGTCGATATCCTTATAAAAGAAGAAGAGGAGAAGATATACAGGCCTGGACTCTTCCCCTAAAAAGAAACATACCTAGGAGCTGGCACTGTGGTGTAGCAGGTAAAACCACCGACTACAGTGCTGGCATCCCATATGGGCACCGGTTTGAATCTTCGCTGCTCCACTTCTGATCCAGTTCTCTGCTATGATCTAGGAATAAAAAAAAAGAAAAATTAAAAGATGGCCCAAGTCATTGAGCCCCTGAACCCTGTACTCCAACAAAAATGAGAGTACTTTAAAAATTCATGGAAAATGAAATTAAAAGATAAGTTTGTTTTCAAAAAGAAATTTTGAAAATCCATGCACAGGTTTCTCATAAAATGCACTTTGCACGAACCTTTTGAAATATCCGTGTGCATTCCCCTTAAACAAGTGAGGAAGGATCAACGTTGGCTTGAGAACAGCATACGCTGCTGGATAAGGCTGTTCTGTCTCCAGGATGCCAGCATCCTCATCCCACACTCTGCAGAGTCCATCCTGGGTTCCCAGGAGGGCGCCTCCCTAAGGGACCAACAGTGCAAAGGAGGGGAGGCTTCTCACAACTCACTCTCCTGCTCTTGGCACTGCCTGGCAGGGTCCAGGCCTGGGACGAGGCTGCCCTGTGTCCATGGCTGACCTGTAGACAGTACTCTGCTCCGATGTTTTGGGTTATAGGGGAGCACTGAGGGTCAGAAAAGGTTCCACATCTTTCCCACAGAGTCCCATCTTCCCATGCTTCCTCAAGAATCAGTAATTCTTTGAAAGGAAATCTCCACTCTCCCATTAAGGCATAGAACCCATATATTTTAAACTAAATTTTTCTGTTCTTTGGCCAGCATTTGCAACATACACTCCTGATTTTTTACACTGTGCTTAGACAACCTTGCAACCTGTCCCCATCCTTGAACATAATTTTCTTGGGTAACACATGAATGTATCCATATATTTAGCATTTCTGACCATCTTTCCTTCTTCCTGAAGTTCTGAGTTTCTGTATGGAATCTTTCACTGCAGTTTGGAAAACTTCTTTGAACATTTCTGCTCAAAGTTAACTGTCTTATTGTTTTTAACCTGAAAATCTCCTTATTCATTTTTATTATTAAAGAATATTTGTACAGAAACTAAATTCCTGGTAGCTTTGTTTTCCTTTTTCATTTCTTTGAAGACATTGTCCCATCATCCTCTGGCTGCCATGGTTGCTGATGAGAAGTCAGTGGTCCTTTGATGGTTCTAGGACTCAGAAAATTAGGAGAAAGGATTCACGGGCTGGACTTGAGGGTCAATGGAAAGTTGAGCCAGCATTGTCAGTTAGGTGTAACTTCTCCCTCCTACACTTCAGCAGCTTCCAGAACACGAAGCTCACTGTGTTCCCCACACCTGTCCCTGCTGCCAGGAACACCCTCCCCCTACGGAGCACCACTTCCTTCCTTCTCACACACTAGCTCCTCTGTAACCTTTCCTGAAGGTAAGCAGATTGGAAAACCTTGTGGGTATATTTGTTTTGAGACTAAAGGGAACAGTGGGGACTTTCCAGGTGCCCTTGGCAACCTGCTCCGGTCCAGGCTTGCTTTTGGCAAGTGATAAACTACGTCTGATTAGCAGCAGAATCTATCTGAAGCCTGCAACAGGCACTAAGTTCTAGTCAATGAGTCAGAAAGGATTGAATTGTTAAAATGGTCCCATTCCATCCTCACTTGTTATAGGAAGATCTATCTAAATACTGTTGTTGAAGTCAAATATTCCCATCCCTTCCGACCCCTGGCAAGATTCTCCATGATTCCAGAAAAATAACTTTAACTTGCCCCCTTTCCAACAAAATGCTCACCCAACTGAATGCTGGAAAACCTGAGACATCCCAGCTCAGGATCAGGCCTCAGGCTCAGCCCTGCCAGCTGCATCTGTGCAGCTCAGTTTCTGTAAAGAAATGTAGGTGGAGTGCACAGATCCAGAAGGCAGGATACCCACATGAATCCTTACTGGGACACCAGCCCTGAGTTCAAGGGTCCCACTACCTCCTCCAGGTTTGATGACCTCATAGAATGACCCACAGAACTTAGGCAAGCACTTTCCTTAACTAAGACACTAAGACAGGAAAAAAAGAGGATTCAAATTGGAACCAGCCTAGAAAGAATCAGGAGGCAGAATCTGGGAGGATCTGATGAGGAGCTCCTGGCCACACTCTCCTTGGGAGTCGGGGGTGTTACCTGTCCCAGCAATGACGTACAACAACGTGATGGGTTATCATCAACCTCAGCTCCCCTGAGCCTCTGCTGCTGAGTTGCTGTTGGAGTGAGACTGCGTGCTACCTGTGTGACTGACCTCGAGTCTCCCTTCCTTCCAGAGGCCAGAGCTGAGGGCAAGTCCCAAAGCCCCACTGTAAGTCACGCTTACAGTGAGATGGTCCAGTGGCCAAAGTTCCCAGGCAAAGACACTCGTTTGCAGCAGGATACCACAGGGGGCTGGGGGACCACCCAGGTCAAGGCCAAAGCCAGACTTCTCTTTTTTTCCCACAGCAGGCAGACATGAGTTTATTGCATTAGAAAAAACATCAAAGGAAACCAGAAAACACCTCCATACTGGACGCAGTTATTAGTTTGACTTGGAGGGCATGAACAAATCTCAGGTACAAGCTTTTTTTTCAGAGAAGGGGTGGCAGCCTCATACCTCCTCCTTCCCTGTCCCTTTTAACCAATGGACCTCTATGGAGGTGTCCACTCTGACACAAGTACGTGACCCCATTCCACTCTGCCTGTCCATGTCCATGCGGAGTTAGCTGGTCACAATGAGCACGCTCCTGTGGTTCTGGGTGAGACAGCGAAAGGTAAGGACGGGGCGGGGGAGGTCGGAGCCTGAGCCTGGGCTTCCAGTCAGTGACGGTGGGGCCTGCCTTCCTGCAAAGCTCTGGAAAGACTGCTCATGGTCCCTCCGTCTCCCCACAAGCCCCAGGGCACAGGCATTGGCACGAATGCTGCTGGGCATGAATGGGGGTGACTCCGACTCTCTAGGGGCATCACTTGGGCTAACTTTTCAGAACAGCACTGGGTCTGAGGGAGACTGCAGGAAGGAGCCAACTGGCTGCGCCTGGATGTGGGAGAGGAGAAGAAAACCCAGTACTTTCTGGAGACAGGGGAGAGGTCTGGCTGGGGGCGAGGGGCCGGACAAGGAACGCTGGAAAAGGAAGACACTGGTGGGAAGCAGAGCGATGGCCTTGACCAACACCCTGCCCCTCCCAGAGGAAACCCAGCCTCTAAAACTCACCTTCTGGGGACCCGAGCCTGCTATGAGGACCAACAAACAATGGTCCCTGGCAGTGTTTGCTCCAGTTGATCTCTGCCATGCACACTGTGAATCAGTGACTGCATCTTGAGAAAAACTAAAGATGCTCCAATCTTACAGTTCTAAAGCGTCACTTGACGTCTCGGCTGGATGTGCCCCCAGTGAGGTCCCAGCAACACTAAGGCAGAAGGCACCCCTTCCTTTAGCTGAGCCCCTGATGAGGCCAACCGCTACGGCTCATGGCAAAGGCGGCAGGGGACGGGCCAGAGATGGCAGCAGCTTTCCGGGGAGGAGCAGCACAGCTCAAGTCTGCGAAGAGGCAGGAGCTGAGCAGGAGGGGCGTATGCCGGGGCTGACTCGGGCTGCCTGGGTCCCGTCCCGTCACGTCCTCCTCCAAGCCCGACTGATGGGAGGGAGGCTCATGTGACAAGAGGGAACTCGAGGGTCTCTTCAGGTCAGAGACTCCCAGTAGCAAGTCCTCTGGAGAACGCCCACTCGTGCGTCCTGAGTCAGAATGACAACGCAATAATGGGTGCTTCGGACACAGTCAGGACAGGGTCAAGTTTCCAGCGGAAACAACTCTAAGCCTTCTTGCCACCTTGATTCTGCACTGTTATTTCTTTACATGTCAGAGATATTTTTCTAGAGCCAGGCGTCAGCCCTCTTGGTACCTAGCTGCAGCCTGCTTGTTGGTCTGGACGGGTGGTTACAGGGGCTGCAAATGACCTGCACCAGGATTTGCAGGCACAAGGCTTGGTTTCCGCCCTGCAGCCCAGACTTTCGCCAGCTGTGCCAGGATGGCCGTGCTGAGGAAGTGGCCTGAGGGCGGCCAGGCAGGTTTTCCAGAACTGATGGTGGAGGCCTGGCCATCAGTTCGGTGCAGGGAGGAATGGCTTTGTCCTGTTTGCTCTGGTCCTTGCTGTCACTCTCCCTCAGTCCTGAGGTGCTGGTTGCTCCAGCTCTGGCCCCACAGCTTTGCTGGGGTTGGGGAGGGAAGGGAGCGAGGTCGTAGCTGAGTTCACTTAGGCTGGGCTAGTCACCGTGCGCCAAATCCTTTGGTTCATTTAACTCTAGGGGGTAACGGATGTGGCTTGGCTCACCTGCAGTGTGGGTGTCCTCTGGAAAGAACTTCCAGGCTGGGGCTCCCCCACATTGTGCTTCTTGCTTGCTACTTAACCAACCCCCCCCCTTCTCCAGTGTGGAGGACGCTTAGGAAACAGTGTCAAAAGTGAACTCACAGACAAGACAGCCTTAATAAATTAGTGTAATACTATTGGAAGGGGTGGCATTTTGCTCTGTTCCTTAGCAGCATTGTCCCATGTGCAGCCTGGTGATCTCCTTCCCTGGGATATTTAAAAAGCCGTCCCCTGGTTGTTAGCTCTGACGTAAAATTATAAAATAGAAATCTGGTAGGGTTTGTTTTGTTTAAAGAGGAAAAGCCCTGGTGAGGCAGGGTGGTCCCATGTGGTCTTGTTAGCTCTGGCCGTTGGGTCTGCCCACGGTGCTCCCCCCAGGATGCTGGATCTGGATGGAGTCCAGGAGGGGCTGAAGCACCTGTCTGAAGGGCATGGAGAGAACTTTAGAGGGCAGGTCAGTGATATAAGAAGGGATCTTCCGCCCCATCAGGAACTGTGCCACTTCGTTGCTGAAGGTGTTACAGTTGTGTTCAAAGAGGTTGTAGGCCTCACCTCGAAACAGAGACTCCCCCAGGGAGGACAGGTACTCCAGAAAGATTTCTTCTGTGACTTCTGTGATGCCCACATCAACCACAGAGTCTGGGGGCCCAAGCAATGTCCCTCCCAGCAGGCAGCTGGAGATCCCACCACTGCCAAAGAAGGACTCATCCTTGTACACAACTATGGAGGTATGCCAGATGCCTTCCAGTTGTTTTCCCAGCATGATGGGGCTGAGTCGCCGGGCCAGGCCCTTGGACAGGTCATACATGTAGAGCTTCACCAGATAGAGATTCGGCAGCTCCACTGGGATCCGTGGGGGTGGCCATGAAGGCCCTCAGGCACCTGGCAGCGGCTTGGACCTTCCCGTGCCTGACCCGGGCGGGGAGAGGAGGAGGTGGTGAGGGATCGAGCCTGGGGCCCGGCCTGAGGGGTGGGGGAGAGGCCGCCTGGCGTTGCTAGCGCCCCTGCACCTGCTACCGGCAACAACTACTGTGTCCAGACTTCTCTTTAGGTCAGGTTAACTCTGCCCCACATGGTCTCCATTCCCTCCGTATGAGAACTGGAGACCAGTGAGAGCACCTATTTTCATTCTGCTTTTCTGAATTCTCTGTCTTAATTATTGTCACTTGTCTAATTCCTGTTAACAAGAGTGTGAAGTGGGCGCCCCCAGCCAGGCCTGGAAGTACAAGGAGGCCGTCTCAAGGGGAAGTGGGTCTGTGGAGCCAGTTGTGGAGATGCATGTCCCCTGCCCACACTCACCAAGAGGGCTACTGACTGCAGCTGGCCTCTTGACTGCCTGGGGTCACTCCCAAACCTTTGTCCCTGCTTGGTCTAGGCAAATCCTACTCATCCCTGTTGTCCCTGCTTGGTCTAGGCAAATTCTACTCAGCCCTGAAGGTTCACTCTAGTGCATGACACAGCGGGACACCTGCCCTGATGGTCCCTCCCTGTCCCTGCCCTGTGTCGGATGAGACAGAGCAGCAGCCAGTCTGTCGGAATCACCTGCACACAGTTATCACCTGACTGCCCCAGAGGCTCCAGCTCCCTGACTTGTGCTTGGGCTCACTAGGAGTCCATACCTTCAGACCCAGGCCACTGGGGGCCACGTACTTCCTCTTTGTCCCTGATGCACCTGGCAGACTGGGGATGGGCGGATGCCAAGTTCTCAACAGATATCAGCTGCCTTGAAAACTGAGCCGTGTTTTCTTTGGCATCGTCTCCTCTTGCAAGGCTGCACCTGCTGTGGGTGTGGGAGGTGAGTCCAGCCCTTCCACAAAACCAGAGGCCACAGAGGCCACAGCCTGACGTGGAGGCAGAGATCTCCAAGCCAGCAGGGACAGTCTCTCCGTGTCTGGGTAGGAGGGCCTGGCTGGAGCTTCCCAGACAGCAGCTCCAGCCCAGCCGGGGGCCCCTGAGCTCACAGCAAAGCCCTTTCCAGCTGGTGAGGCAAGCGCTCTGGTTTTCCACCAAGAAGCAGCCCATTTCCAAATGCTTGGCACTGTCAGAGCGGGCTCTGTCCTCCGTAAACAACGGAGAGGCCTCCTCCTGAGCACCCCCCTTACATTGGATGCAGAGGAAAGAAAGCTCTTAGAAGAGATGTGGGAAATGAGCCAGGGCAAGAGGGCCGGGGGTCCATGTCCTCCTGCCACCGCCCGCCACTTCCTGTCTCTGCTTAGATGTTTGACGGCTGCAATCCACACACACTCCTCCATGGGTGGTCTGTTGCAGGCCCAGCAGGGACAGGGAATGAAGGCACATGTCTTAAGGTGCCATGGTTAAAGTGGTCTCCAGGATATTCACCCCAACCCCTCCCGGGAAGCCTCCTCCCTCCTCAAACTCCCCTGTGAGCCACAGTACCCAGTGCACCAGCTGCAGCCTTTAGGGGAAGGGGTCTTCAGCTGTGCCTCCAGGCAGGTGACAGCCACCCTGGCCACTCACCCTGAGAGTCCATCTTCCACACGGGCCCCTGGCCCAGGGCCCAGCTGGAGAGGGTACTGCTCAGGTCTGGAGCACAGGGTGGGAGGTTGCGTCAGACAACACCAGCAGTGCGCATCCAGGTGGTCTGGCACAGAGCCCCGGACCTCAGGCATCTGTACCACATTGGGCCAGACGTGGCAAGGGCGCTGCAGCTGGGGAGGGATCCAGGGCCTCTGAGCTGACAGAGGCTTCGACTTCCCAACATGCCAGGGAGCCCGAGGGTGACAGAGGACTGTCCCACGGCCCTCCACTGTCCCCTCTGACTTTGGGGTGCTAAATATTCTGGAACCGAGAAAGCATGAGGGGCCCAAAGGAGGGGGCACCTGACATATTCCCAGATTGCTCTGTGCAAAACCACTCAGCACGTGTGCGGCCATCAGAGGACCTCATTTTGCTTTTAAAACATTGGCTGGGGCCTGGTTCCTGCATGCTCCCTGTTGGTGGAACCCAAGAGCCTCTCCCTCTCTCTCGTCCTGCGCCCCCCGAGTCTTGCTCCCCCCCACCCCCCACACTTTCTCTCGTTATCTTGTGGCCATTCTCTGCCAGGCATACAATCAGCCGACTTCTTCACAGCCTTTGGAGGGGTGGGTTTGTGCCAGGGGTGCTGTCCGGGTCTTCACTGCAATCCCTAACAGACATTTATGGCAATGCTGCAGACGCCCTGAATGACGGGATGTGGTCAGATGACCTTTTGTTCCCTTGCTTGATGGAAAATCAGTGACCTACACGCTTTTCTAGAACTAAGAGAAGTGTGACCCGGGCTTTGCAACTCCTGTCTCTGCAAAGGGTTAGGGGGTCACACATGCAGAAAACCAGCAGCCCAACCCCCAGCTAAACAAAACAAAACCCCACCCTCTTCCCTCGGGCTTCTCCCTGATCCTGTGTACACAGACCTGCTGCCACCAGGTGTACAGATCACCTGGTTCCCAAGTTCTGCTTCCAATCGCCCTGCATGGCTTTCTTTCTTCTTTTTCTCTTTTTGTTTTTCCTTTTAAGATTTGTGGCACAGCAGGTTAACACCCTGGCCTGAAGTGCCTGCATCCCATATGGGCACCGGTTCTAGTCTCGACTGCTCCACTTCTGATCCAGCTCTCTGCTGTGGCCTGGGAAAGCAGTAGAAGATGGCCCAAGTCCTTGGGCCGCTGCACCCATGTGGGAGACCTGGAAGAAGCTCCTGTCTCCTGGCTTCAGATTGGTGAAGCTCCAGCCGATGTGGCTATCTGGGGAGTGAACCAGCAGATGAAAGATATCTCTCTCTCTCTCTCTCTCTCTCTCTGCCTCTCCTCTCTCTCTGTAACTCTGACTTTTGCATAAGTAAATAAATCTTTTTTTAAAAAAGGTTTATTTATGTATTTGAATATCAGAGTTACAGAGAGAGGGGGAAAGAGAGCTGGGGATGGGCGAGGGGGAGAGAATTTTCCATTTGTGGTTTCACTCCCCAGATGGCTGAAATGGCCAGGGCTGGGCCAGGCTGAAGCCAGGAGACAGGAGCTTCATCCGGGTCTCCCACATGGGTGCAGGGGCCCAAGCATTTGGGCCACCCTCTAAGGCTTTCCAAGGTGCGTTAGTAAGGAGCAGGATTGGGAGTGGAGGAGCCGGTTCTCAAACCGGCGCCCATATGTGAGACTGGCATTGCAGACAGTGGCTTTACCAGATATGTGACAATGCCGACCACGCGACAGCTTTCTGATCACGATTGTGCTGCTTTGTCTGGGGACTTTGAGTGTTCCTTTGGGGACAGGTATTTCCCTCGTGAGAGAAGGAAGTTCTCCTAAGGCTGCCTTGCATGCTTGGCCACTGTGAGTCATGTGTGAGGTGCAGAGCCCCGCCAGCACTGGCATTAGGACAGACTGAGCCAGGCTCATGGGTGTCCCTTGAGGGTCTCGGCCTCTTGTTTTCCTCTAACTGACCCCATCCCCAAGTGCCGTGGCCTCAGCCTCACATATCTATTCCTCCACATGAGTCCCCCTCTCTCCTTTCAGGCCTGGGTTTCTTCTCCCTCTGATGGGTCGAGGTCTCTCCCTGCCTTTTCCTAGTCCTGGGTCTCCCCGGGTCCTTTCCTAGACATGTGGAGGCGCTTGGGAAAGTCGGCAGTGTTGATTACAGGTGTGTCACGGCCAAGTTCACAGCACTTCTGTGCAGCGAGCTGTGAGGTGTGGGGCCAGGACCCCAGGAGGAAGGGCTGTCAGAGTTGGGGATCGGGAACACCCCGCTCGGAGAGGCCTGCAAATCTGATCTTCAAGCATAAAGTTGGTTCTACTACAAACATCCACTCACTCATGCAACTATGTGAGCTACATCAAGTTTAATGAGGACTGAGCAAAATCTCATGAAGGAAGCAGTCGGCCTTTGTCGAGCTAGAAGTGGAGCCCACTCTTGTTCAGTTTAGGGCAGGGACACCCATCCCTGCTCGCATTTGGAGGCTAATTCCCCAGGACATAGAAAGTGACAGTGGGGGCCGGCGCCGTGGTGTAGCGGGTTAAGCCGACACCTGTGACGCCAGCATCCCAAATACGGCCACCGGTTCTAATTCTGGCTGCTCTGCCAATGACCCGGCTCCCTGCTGGTGGCCTGGGAAAGCAGCAGAAGGTGGCCCAAGTGCTTGAGCCCATGTAGCTTTATGAGATACCCCGGAAGAAGCTCCTACTCCTGGCTTCAGATCGGCTCGGCTCTGGTCATTGAGGCCATTTAGGGAGTGAACCAGTGGATGGAAGACCTCTCTCTCTCTCTCTCTCTCTCTCTCTCTCTTTGTGTAACTCTGCCTTTCAAATAAAATAAATAAATTTTAAAAAAAGAAAGAAAGAGAGTGACAGTTGCTACAAACGGTGATAACGACTTGTGTTGTCATGGCCTACGTCTCCTGACGATGCAGTGTGCCCTCTGGAATATGCCTAGAACAGTTACAGCAGAGCTGGTTAGCAGTGGAAAGTCCAGACCCCACCCCAGACGGCCCGAGTCAGAGCCGCGGGGCAGGCCCAGCCCTGCGTGTTGTAACGAGCCTGGCAGGGTCTGGTGCACGTTCAAGTTTCAGAACAGCTTGCCCAGACAGCGCTCCTGGCTCCTGCAGCCCTCGTGCACCCTGGGAGTCTTTCCATCATGCGTCCTTCTGTGCAGAAGCCGGGGCAGCTGGAGAGAGATGAGCAAAGCCCTTTAGCAATCTGTGGGGTGACGAGACTCCTGTCTCAGGCCCCAGTGCATCCATGATCTGACACTGCCTCTGTGTGAACTTCGGCAAGCCAGAGTTTCCCGGAGCCTCAGTTGCTTAGCTATAAAATGGGCCAATGGCTACTGTAAGGACAGAACTGTGTCCTCCAAAAATCACAGGTTGCAGCCCTAATCCCCATGTGACTTTACTTGGTGACAAGACTTCTAAGGAGGAGCAGTTAAGTGGGGTCATACGGGCGGGGCCCGACTGCAGCCACATAGGAAGAGGGGAAGTGATTTCTCTTTCCAACACAAGCAGGTGCAAGCTAGGAAGCCAGGCGTCAGGGGACACCAGTGCTGATGGCCCCTGGCTCCTGGACACCCCGCCTCTAGAACTGCGAGGAAATAAAGGCCTGCTGTGGAAAGTGCCCATCCTGGGATGTGTGGTTGTGGCAACCCTAGTGGAAACTCTCTTCCAGTTATTGTCTGGGAGTCTCTTGCCTTTCAGGTGTTCGATGGATCCCAATTATTTCTATCTAAGCTCGTGTCTCAGGAAGACAAGATTTTCTTGCAAAGATTGCCTGCCCTGACTTGGTGACCTGGAAACGTTACCGGACACAGGGCTCCATCTGCTGGGGTGTCGCAGATGAATCAGCCTCAAGTGGGCATTGCTTGGAGGAGGAAAGCTCCATGTACCTGGGACAGGTAAAGGTGACAGGGCTATGCCAGGTAAGGGGAGTGTCTGGGATACAGCAAAAGTGCAGGGGGCCACCCCTCCTGCCCATGCACACCAGCCACACGCATCTCCCTACATTGTCTGTTCAGAAAATGGTGGCTGTCTCCTCCTGGGCAGATAATGTACTGTAAGGAAGACAGTTCAATTTAGGTCACGGAGATATCACTCCAGTGGACTTCCTGGTGCTCTAACTGCTCCTGGCGGGTGGTGGTCTAACCCCTGTGAGTGCAATGTTGCAGGACAAGCTCTCCCGCAGCACGCTTGGAAAAGCAGGCTCCAGAGTTGGGATTCTCTGCAGCTGTTCCTGTCCCTTGTTTGCTCAATCCTCTAGTCTTGGTTACAGAATGGAACACACACAACTCCAGACTTCTGCCCACTGTTTTCATCTATGTAGTCTCTCCTTACATGCCTGCTCCCCACCTTTTGCATCCAAGAGCAAAAAGACTACCTGTGGAAATACTCAAGCAGAGGCACACATGAAGGTGCCGGAATGTTCTCAAATCCCAGCGGGACCCTGCAGTACCAGACACGGCCACTGAGTGGCAGTCACACCAGGCAGAGTCTGCTCCCACCAGACCCGCCGCTGGGAGTCTGGAAAGGGTACACTGCTTTGGCTGGAAACCAAATTTTTTAAATCTGGCAAATTTAAACTGACAGACGGAAGCGGTGAAAATCATTTTCCCTTTAAACGCGTTTGTATTGATCTTTGGGACTACGTTTCACGTTGGTGCTTGATAATGGGGCCTCGGAACTGGCAGGTGCCATGGCTATACATCGCAGGGACACACTGGATCTTAAAGAATCAGTGCCCCCAAATGTGCACCGGTCCCTGGCACATTTTGCATGAATTACCTGTGGGAAGGGTCATGTGCTGGCAACAGTGCAATCAGATGCAAGGTTGAAGTGAGTACCACCTATTTCTTTTTACTTTTTTCATTTGGCAAACCAGACCATTGGCTGATATAGGCTTCCTAAGGGGTGGGGCTGATCTGGGGCCTCAGCCCAGGGGACTGGGGTTTGCTGAGCAAGGGTGCAGGGCCAGCCAGGCCCAGCCTGGAGCTCACAAGTCAGGGCTGCCCAGGGCCTCGGGGTGGGGGGTGGGGTCAACACAGACCTCCTGGTGCTGAGGGAGAACACTGAGGGCCCAGGCTCAGGGTGGCCCTCCTGCCAGTCTCTGAAACCTGCATCCTTGGCCTCTGTTTATAGGGTGGGTCCTTTATCAACTCAACCAACACCTACGGAGCAGTGACTGCACAGGCCCTGGGTGGGCTGCAGAGGCAGGGACATGAAGGGCAGGAGACAGACTGACAGAGCTCAGGGGGACAGGGAGCGGTACATGGGGGCTGTGGGCACTGGGGAGGCCCCTCCTCGTGGGGTTGGGGGGCTTTGAGCCAGGCCCACCCCCCTAGGGGCAAGGACACCTGCCCCTTAGTGCAGGCTGGCAGAGCTCAGGAGGCACCTGGCCCTGCCACCTGCTGTGCCTGCTCAGGCCTCAGATTTACTTGCAGAAAGAGGGGAGAATGTGCAAGTTGTGTTCTCAAACTTTCTCACTTGGGGATGCTTTTGAAAAGAGAGGGCCTGAAGAGTTTGATTGTACCTCTCAGTATGGGCCGCATCAGAAAGGAAAATTGAGACACCAAAAATATCCACAGCTAAACCCTTGCTAAATAACACCCATTGCTTATCATACATAACATTTATGCAAAGTATGCACATTGTCCACAACAGAAAAGAATGGGGCTGCTTCTCCTTTTTTTGCAAATCCTTTATCGTTTAGCAGGTTGGTCTGTTGTCAGATCCTGCATCTTTCAGCCTCAGGAAACTCCACCGGATGGACTTGTGTGACAGAGAGGACAAAATGATACCGAGGCATTTTCATGGCAGTGAGTTTGAGCTCTGCGAGGGACTCAGCACCCCCTGCACGGCACCCTGAGCCCCACCGTGCTCAGCTCTGGGAATGTGGGGTGGGCTGATCTTCCAGCCAGCAGGGTGGAGACACTGAACCCACAGGGGGAGTGGGGAGGAGCCCCCAGCAGGCTCCAGGGAGACGTGGGGCCTCCCCAGACATCCCAGGGTGTGTCAGCCAAGCTTATCTTCACCTCGCTCTGCCCCTACCCTGCTAGCCCGTGAGGGCCTTTAGAACGAGCAGGACTGACATTTGCTGATACGGGACACATTCCCCAGGGTCCCCTGCTGCCTGCATACCCTCCCTTCCTGAGGCCCCAGAACACCTGTGTGAGTCAGGGCCTCCCTGGAAAGAGAACCCGTAGGTGTGTGCATGTGTGCATGTGTGCATGTGTGCATGTGTGTGTGTGTGCATGTGTGCATGTGTGTGTGTGCGTGTGTGTGTGTGCATGTGTGTGTGTGCACGCATGCAGAGAAGAGCGAGTGGGGAATTGGCTCGTGTGCTTATGCTGGAGACCCGGGGAGGCGTGGATGTAGCAGTTTGCACCTGAAGCCCCTTTGTTGGCTGAATTCCTTTCTCAAGCTGCTTTTATATATATATATATATATATATATATATATATATGCAAACACACATACATACACTGTCTCTTAAGGTCATTGTCTGATTGACTGAGGCCCAGCCATGTTAGAAACAGTCATCTGCTCTACTACATGTCTGCTGATGGAAATGTCAAGCTCATCTCTCTGCATGGTGAGAACCAGACGAGTGTTTCACGGCTCCCCTGGGTGCAGTGGCCTAGCCACGCTGACACATAAAATGAGCCCTCACACACCCAGCATCCAGGAACCAGAGTTGGCCCCAGTTGCCACGGGGCTGTGGGTGCACCTTCCGTGCAGCCTGCTGGTCTTCATTATCACCGTGCAGTCTGGAAGCCAGCCCTGGTAGGGTCCCTACTCCACGCTGCCTCTCTGGCTTCTGCTCCTTAGAGATCAGCTCCAAGCAGCCTCCCCAGGTAGGAGGGATTTGGCAAAGACACGTTTGGTGAACATTTTGTGGTCTAACAAGGGACACGGTCCCATGGGACACTGTTCAGAGCAGAACCACCCACCTGAGTCACAGAATCTCAAAAAAGCAGGTGCTGTTGCTCTAAGCCATTGCAGGGCTGGACGGTTTGTTATGAGAAGTGTACAGTTTTGGGTGACCCTGACGTCCTGGGCTGGTGGTCACAACCGTGCTGGTGACAACACAGCAGGCAGCCCTCGCTGAGCACAGGCTGGTGATGGCCCCCACTGCTCTCTGGCCTGGTGGTGGGCCTGTAGGTGGGCTGGGAGCTCTGGAGATAACCCTGCCCCTGGGAGCTGGTCGGGGACGTGGTCATCTGCTGACGGTGCCTGGAGCCCAGACTTTTCCCCTGTAGGAAGGATGTGAACAGAGTTCACCTCCAGCGTCGTAGGAAGACGTCAGTTAATCCACCCCACAAGCCAAGAAGCAGAAACATTAGCTCCTGCTGATGCTTCCCCTTGACAGATGAGGGAAGGGAGGCTCAGGCAAGCTGGAGGCACTGGGATGTGCATTACGAGACCATTGAACCGAGATCTGCACTCAGGGTATAATTATTTCTTAATGAACTTAAAAATATTTCTTGGAAAGTACATGTGTTTTTTTAACCGAGTTTTTTTAAAAGGTTTATTTATTTATTTGAAAGTCAGTGTTAGGATAAGAAGAGAGAGAGAGAGAGGTCTTCCATCCAATGGTTCACTCCCCAATTAGCTGCAATGGCCAGAGTTGAGCTGATCCAAAACCAGGAGCCAGGAGCTTCTTCTGGGTCTCCCACACAGGTGCAGGGGCACCATCCCCTATGTGATGCTGGCGCATCAGGCCAGGGTGTTAACCTGCTGTGCCACAAATCTTAGAAAGAAAAAAAAGAGAAAAAGAAAAAAGAAAGCCACTCAGGGCGATTGGAAGCAGAGCTTGGGAACCAGGTGATCTGTACACCTGTTGGCAGCAGAAACCTGGGCCTGAAAGGAGAGAGGGGTACTGATGTGCAGGAATGGAGATGTGAGGCTGAGGCCACGGCACTTGGGGATGGGGTGAGTTAGAGGAAAACAAGAGGCCGAGACCCTCAAGGGACACCCACGAGCCTGGCTCAGTCTGTCCTAACGCCAGTGCTGGCGGGGGCTCTGCATCTCACACATGACTCACAATGGCCAAGCATGCAAGGCAGCCATAGGAGAACTTCCTTCTCTCATGAGGGAAATACCTGTCCCCAAAGGAACACTCAAAGTCCCCAGACAAAGCAGCACAATCGTGATCAGAAAGCTGTCGGGTGGTCGGCATTGTCACATAGCTGGTAAAGCCACTGTCTGCAATGCCAGTCTCACATATGGGTGCCGGTTTGAGAACCGGCTCCTCCACTCCCAATCCTCCTCCTTCTAACGCACCTTGGAAAGCCTTAGAGGGTGGCCCAAATGCTTGGGCCCCTGCACCCATGTGGGAGACCCGGATGGAGCTCCTGTCTCCTGGCTTCAGCCTGGCCCTCCTGGCTATTGCAGCCATCGGGGGAGTGAAACCACAAATGGAAAATGCTCTCCCCACCGCCCATCCCCAGCTCTCTTTCCCCCTCTCTCTGTAACTCCAATTTTCAAATAAATAAACAAATCTATTTTTAAGATTTATTTATTTATTCGAAAGTCAGAGTTACACAGAGAGGAGAGGCCAGAGCTGTGCCAATCCGAAGCCAGGAGACAGGAGCTTCTTCCGGGTCTCCCATGTGGGTGCAGGGGACCAAGGACTTGGGCCATCTTCTTCTGCTTTCCCAGGCCACAGCAGAGAGCTGGATCAGAAGTGTAGCAGTCGGGACTAGAACCGGCGCCCATATGGGATGCCGGCGCTTCAGGCCAGGGCATTAATCCACTGCACCACAGCGCCAGCCCCAGCACATGGTTTTTCAAAGTATTCTGACATCTCCTGCATCTCTTCATCCTCTGAATAGTCCTGAGATGCGGAATGGGCTGGGGCGGTTGTCTCCATGCTACAGATCAGGGCTGGGACCAAGAAGGCTACTTCCCTTTGTCCTACCCAAAAGGTTGTGAGTGCTGGAGGGCTCTTGGCTCACATGGGGAGTGACGAGGAGAAGAGCCTCGTGCTCCAGTTGCCATCACGGGGCTCTGGGAATGACCAGAGAGGAGCAGGTGAGGCTGGAGGCTGTTTGAGGGGAGAAGGCAGTGACACCTGTCACGCCAGAGAGACGCTGGCTGGCTTCACATCGCTGTTCAGGGAACACCTGTGGAGCTTCCAGAAAAGGTGCTTCCCTCCGGCCTCTCTCCCATCCTTGGCATTTTGGGGAGCTTCCCATTAAACCCCAAATTCCCCGCACATCCGAGCCCGGCTCTTGCGAGCAGTCTGAACAGCGGTCACTAGACTGAGCCATGGCTATGCGATGCAAGGATTCTTTTTCCTGACTCCGACCTCTCCCTCTGGGAGAAAGCACTCTGGTTTCTGTGCAAGGAATTTCAGGGAGCCTTGGGGAGACCCATGGCGCAGGGCAGGAACGGGGCTGGCTGGGCTCTGGGCCCTGGCGTTCACACCCAGGAAGCTCGACTCACGTGTCCTACATTTACATAAGGAAAACCCAACACTCGGCAGCAGTAAGGCAAATGGTTGTCTGTGCCCCAGTACCCAGTTTCACCCTGGAACCTAAACTGGCCTGCACACAGGCCATAGCTTGCTTAATTATCAAAAATCCCTTACTTTGACTTGCTATTGACTATCAATCGGACTTTCTGAAGTTACATGCAGTTTGCAGACTCTTAGTCAGCAGAGACACAAATGCTTTCTGTCTGAAACAGAAGACAACCCCAAAGCCTGCAGTGTTGTTCCCTGCAGGGTGTGGTTCATGTCTGCCCCTCACTTAGCAGGCTGCCTTTACCACGCCTGCCTCGGCTGATTAAACAAAATCTGTCCCCCAGTCCCCCTGTTTGAACAAATGCCACTATTTTGGTAGTTCCACGGTTGATAAATCTATGACGTGCATTGATTCCATATTTGTATGAGAGGCTTGGTTTTCTTTTTTATTTTAAAGATGTATTTATTTATTTGAAAGTCAGATTTACACAGAGAGAGAAGAAGACAGAGAGAGAGGAGACAGAGAGAAAGGTCTTCCATCCACTGGTTCACTCCCCAGATGGCCGCAATGGCCAGAGCTGTGCCGATCCAAAGCCAGGAGCCAGGAGCTTCTTCCGGGTCTCCCATGTGGGTGCAGGGGCCCAAGGACTTGGGCCATCTTGTACTGCTTTCCCAGGCCACAGCAGAGAGCTGGATCAGAAGTGGAGCAGCTGGGTCTTGAACCTGCGGCCATATGGCCATATGCAGGTGGTGCCTCTACCCACTACGCCACAGCGCCAGCCTCCAGAGGCTTGGTTTTAACATTCTAAGGATGCACTTGGCCTTGTAAGACTTACTTCAGTAGGTGAGGGAGTCTGGAAAGAAGATTGAGATGTCTGAAGGTAACCTCTGGGAAAATGAGAAGGCCAGCAGCACGTGGAAGGGGTGAGCAGGGAGATGGGGGCACACACATGCAGACGGAAGAAAGCTGGAAGACCCCCCTTATCTGGAGAGATGAAGACTGTGAGAGACCAGTTACACTTACAAGGTCACAGGAAGCAGCAAAGAGAAGCAGCGAAGCTTTTCCCCAAATCTAAGAAGGGGGCGCCTCTTGCTGGTGGGCAGGAATGGCTGCGGAGGAGAAAGTCTCCCTTGCAATGACATCAGGAACCAGAGACCCGTTGACGGAGGCTTCTTGAGCAATCGTCTCCGTGTGCCCAGCAGTCGTCACAGAACGAGCTGTGTGAGAGACAGCCCCTGGTGCCGGGAGGGTAAGCTCCAGCCGGGGCCACAGATTAAACATTGTAACACAGCTTTCAGGAAATGGGTGGACAGCTTCCTGTGGTGCAGAGGGTCATAGCTCAGAACTCAAAGGAAGTAGTGACAATGGGCTGGAGTGTGCTACCTTCTATGGCAAGAGATGTGATTAAGTTAAAGACCTTGTGGAGAATTGCTCATCCTGGACAATCTGGCTAGACCCTAAGTGCAACCATATACTTCAAAAAGTTCATGAAAAGTGGAATTAAAAGATAAGTCTACCTGGGCCAGTGCTGTGGCATGGCAGGTTAAGCCGCTGTCTGCAGTGTTGCCAGCCCATATGGACTCCGGTTCGAATCCTATCTGCTCCACTTCTGTTCTAGCTCCCTGCTAATGCTGCTGGGAAAGGAGTGGTAGATGTCCCAAGTCTTGGCTTCCTGCACCCACATACAAGACCCAGATGAAGCTCCTGGCTCCTTGCCTCAGCATGGTCCAGCCCTGACCTTTGTGGCCATTTGGGGAATAACCCAGCAGATAGAAGATTCCTCTGTCTCTCTCTCTCCCTGTAATCCTGACTTTCAAAAAAGTAAATGAATCCTTTCTTTAAAAAAGACAATAAGTTTATTTAAGCATAAAAAATTTTAACTGGCTGGTGGTGCGGTGTAGTGGGTAAAGCAGCCACCTCTTTCCCGGCTGTTCCACTTCTGATCCAGCTCCCTGACAATGGTCTGGAGAAAGCAGCAGAAGATGGCTCAAGCATTTAAGCCCCTGCCACCTACTTGGGAAACCCAGATGAAGCTTTTGGCTCCTGGTTTTGGTTTGGCCCAGTTCTGGCTATTGTGGCCATCTGGGGAATGAACCAGCAGATGGAAGATATCTCTCTCTTTGACTTTTTTTTAACTTATTTTATTTATTTGGAAGTCAAAATTACACAGAGAGAGAAGGAGAGGCAGGGAGAGAGAAATAGAGAGAGAGAGAGAGAGAGAGAGAGAGGTCTTCCATCCACTGGTTCACTTCCCAATTGGCCGCAACAGCCAGAGCTGGGCTGATCGGAAGCCAGGAGCCAGGAGCTTCTTCTGGGTCTCCCACATGGGTGCAGGGGCCCAAGAACTTAGTCCATCTTCTATTGCTTTCCCAGGCCATAGCAGAGAGCTGAATTGAAGTGGAGCATCCAGGACTCGAACTAGCACCCATATGGGATGCCTGCACTGCCAGCAGTGGCTTACCCACTATGCCACAGCACCAGCTCCTCTCTTTGACTTTCAAATAGATAAATCTTTATTTGAAAGCCAAGCATAGTTTTTTCATAATATACACTTTCTGTGACTTTTTAAAAAATGTTGTTCATTTATTTATTTGAGAGAGAGAGACAGTGAGAGGGAGAGACAGAGAGAAAGGCCTTCCATCTGCTGGTTCACTCCCTAAATGGCCACATTGGCTGGAGCTGGGATGATCTATGGCCAGGAACCAGAAGCCTCCTCCCAGTCTCCCATGCAGTGCAGGGCCCCAAGCACTTGGGCTATCTTCTTTTGCTTTCCAAGGCTACAGCAGAGAGCTGAATTGGTAGAGGAGCAGCCGGGACTCGAACAGGCACCCATATAGGATGCCAGCACTGCAGGCGGCAACTTTACCTGCTAAGCCACACAGTGCCAGCCCCTAAATATATATATTTTTAAATTTCAAAATCATTGGCATAAAAAATGTATGGGGGGGGGCTGGAGTTGTGGCATAGAGGGTAAACCTGTGACAGCCAACATCCCACATAGGTTCCAATTTGTGTTCCAGCTGCTTCACTTCTAATCCAGCTTCTTGCTATGGCCTGAGAAAGGCAGTGGAAGACTGCCCAAGTGTTTGGGCCCCTGCCACCCACATGGGAGACCTGGAAGAAGCTCTTGGCTCCTGGCTTGATCTGGCAAGCGGTGGCTCTTGCGGTCATCTGGGGAATGAACCAGTGGGTGGAAGCTCTCTCTCTTTCTCCCCCCGCCCCATAACTCTGGCTTTCAAATAAATAAGTCTTTTAACAAATATTTACAGGATTTTTCTTGGTGTGTAAGTCCATCCAGTGAACTGATTTGCAAAGATCTACAAGTCCTTCTCTTGCATGAAAAAGACCAAACAGTCTGTGTTAGAGGAGACCATCAGTGAAAAATCAAAAAGGTGGCACTGCATTTTGCTTCAGTTTAATGATCCATGGTGTCTCTGCAAAACACCAGGTAGGAGAAAAAGCCACATGGCTCATGGTGGCGCTTTCAGGAGAGAAGAGCGGATGGCAGCTAGAGGAGAAGGACTTTTACTTTGCCCTGCACTTGTCTGTACAGGTGGAAGCTTTTACAGTGGCCCTTGTTTATTATGTAACTTTTTTTTGTTTGTTTCTTTTTTTTTTTTTTTACAGGCAGAGTTAGACAGTGAGAGAGAGACAGAGAGAAAGGTCTTCCTTCCGTTGGTTCACCCCCCAAATGGCTGCTACTGCCGGTGCTGCGCCGATCCGAAGCCAGGAGCCAGGTGCTTCCTCCTGAACTTTTTGTTTCTTTAAGGATGGAATGGGGGGCCGGCGCCGCGGCTCACTAGGCTAATCCTCCACCTAGCGGCGCCGGCACACCAGGTTCTAGTCCCTGTCGGGATGCTGGATTCTGTCCCGGTTGCCCCTCTTCCAGGCCAGCTCTCTGCTGTGGCCCGGGAGTGCAGTGGAGGATGGCCCAAGTGCTTGGGCCCTGCACCCCATGGGAGACCAGGAGAAGCACCTGGCTCCTGCCTTTGGATCAGCGTGGTGCACCGGCCGCGGCGGCCATTGGAGGGTGAACCAACGGCAAAAGGAAGACCTTTCTCTTTGTTTCTGTCTCTCACTGTCCACTCTGCCTGTCAAAAAAAAAAAATAAATAAAAAGAATGGAATGGGGCCAAGGTTGTGATGTAGCAGGTTCAGCTGCCACCTGCAGGGCTGGTGTCCCATATAAGTGCCAGTTGGAGTCTGAGCTGCTCCACTTCCCATCTTGCTCCCTGCTAATGCACCTGGGAAAGTAGTGGAAGACGGCTAAAGTCCTTGGGCCCCTGCACCCACATGGCAGACCTGGAGGAAGCTCCTGGCTCCTGGCTTCAGCCTGGCCCAGCCCTTTCTGTCTGCTGCCATTTTGGGAGTGAACCAGTGGATAGAGGATCTCTGTGTGTGTGTGTACGTGTGTGCATGTGTCTGTCTGTCTGTCTGTCTGTCTCTCTCTGCCTCTTCCTTTCTCTTTGTAACTCTGTCTTTTAAATAAATCTTTTTAAAAAGAATAGAAGGAGTGGGGGGGAATGAAGTGAAAGTTAAATGCCTGGCCCAGCTGGGTTGTCTCTCAGGGAGAAGGCAGGAGTTTGAGGCAATGGTCAGGCATCAGGAGATTTGGAGTGACAATAAAAGCCACGCTCCCGGGACACACTTTCTGACCCAGCCTCGTGGTCTTCATGCCCTTGCTACTCTCTAATGACTTCTGAAGGTAGGAAGCTGCAGAACTCCCTCTCAGATGGGCAGACAGGCTCAGGCAGATGTTGGGAGAGGAGTGGAACCTCCCAAACCACCTTCTCGTGCTTCTCCCTCAGAGGGGTCCCCCACTCTGGTTGCCAGGGTGCCAGACACACCACAGGCAGGCATGCATGTGAGGGAGGGTACAGCACCACGCCAGGCCCAGCCAGGCCCACCGCCAGAATTGTGGTCCAAGCCGGCTTGAATTGCAGTGTCCTCATAGCAACCTCATCACCATGGCAACTGGAAACGGATCCAATCAGCCATCCTTATGGTGCAGGAGAACAGAAGAGATCTTGAGATCATCGGGTATCAACTCAACACTTCACAGACAGGGAAATGGAAGCCAAGGACGGTGTTTTATTCATCATCAATGGTAAGCATCAACGCTGACTCCGGTGATATAAAGAGCTGCTTTAGGACAGGGGCTGTGCATTGCAGCTCAGCTCCAGGACCGCCCATTGTACACGTGAGAAAACGGGATGAGAAAAGACCGGGGCTTGCCCAAGCTCCAACTACTGGTTCGTGAGGGAGCACAACTTGAACCCACACTTGCAGGATTTGAGAACCAGTGCCCTTAGCCACCTCACCAGCAGAACAGAGGAAGTCACACGTCCTGTTTGTCTCTGCACTGCACAGTAGGACCCTCTGAGGATCCCACCACACTTCCCAGGAGTTCTTGGAGCCCAGTAGGATCCGGGCAACTTGGGCCCAGCTGCGAGACACTGAGCAGTCATCCACCCCCCTCAATTGGCACCATCCTTGTAGCACTGCTTGGACCACGATCAGCACTCTCCTGCTCCTGCCTGGGCTGCGACCAGCTGCATTCACTTTTATAAACCAGCACCTAAGACCTCACCTGATACACACCAGTACTACTTAGTCTATGAGTGCTGAGTGGATGGATGTCTGAGGCGCACGCCCTCGGGCTTCTGTGTCCTTGATGTGTGCCTTCTTCCTTGTGCTAGAATGTCTGCACATGCACAACCCACACACACACACACACACACACACACAACTCCTGATCCCAGAGGGGTGGACCCACATCTTCTCCCTTCTTCAGAACTGGGGATACAGGAGCCGGAGAACACAAGGTCCAATTTGGGAAGAACTCTGATCCACTGGGTACAATCTCCCAGAAAATTAGCCTGTGACATTTCCCCACCTCTTGACCCATGCTTTCTGTGTCTTTTGGTCACCTCCCAAGCAGCTCATCCTGTGAGTGAGAGCATCCCCTGAGAGCATTGTCTGGGTCCCAGGACTTGTCAGTGTAGCTTCTCTTCACACCACCGACAATTCCTCTTAGAAAAAGTGACAACCTTCCTCCCCATCGACATTCATCCTTTTAAACAAATTATTTTCATTTTATTTGCAAAACAGAGACATAGAGACAGACAGAAATCTTCCACCTGCTGGTTTGCTCCCCAAATGCCTACAATGGCTAGAACTGGGTCAGGCTGAAACCACCTGAGAGGCGGGACCCAAGTACTTGAGCCACCACCTGCTGCCTCCCAGAGTTTGCATTACAGGAAGCTGGATTGACCATTGCGCCAAATGTCCATTCAACACTTGCTCTTTATGTCTAATCAGAACCCGAGCCAATTCAAGAATCCTTCACTTACTCAGCCAAAACAACAGTAGCAACAACACTAAAGGCCACCAACCCCGAAACACTGACTGAGAGCCCTTACACAGGCAGGGTACTCAGACGGATGTTGGGTTCATGGTCCCGGTTCTCTGAACGCATGCTGGCAGAGGTGTGCCCAGTGTCCCCCCTGTCCCTCCACGTCACCACAGACACCCTCTGCAGCTCCTTCCCCTCCCAAGGTCACTGTCCCGGGTCAGGCTGCTAGGGACCGGCCAGCAGGGCTGAAATGTAAGGGAGTTTCCCAGAAGTCCTCTGGGGAACCCCACCCGTGGGGCGGCAGGGAACTGGTGCCCTGCCTGCCGCAAGGTGCAGCGCATGCGCTGTGTTGCTATGGACAAGGTGAAGCCCAGCAAACGGGGACCTGGTGGCCTTTCGGCTGGAAGTTTCTATTTGGGTGACCTCTCAGCCAACAGTGTGAGCAAATGGACTGCTGGCTTATTCTGGGATCCTTACCCAGCTTTCGGGGGCGGGTCCTCGGTTAACGCGAATGAGCTCCCTTGGTGATCAAGAACCTCTTTCCAGCCCGCAGTGTTGGCGCCCTGTAGAAATCTATGAGCACATCTTCCAGTTTTAGTTCACTGTGGAAAGGGCCAGACACACCTAATAAAGACAATGGGGGACCGGCGATGCGCTGGAACACGCAGATCTCAACTTCCAACTCAGGCCGTGCTGTCCCTCGGGGTAACTATTGATTTGGTATTTAAGTTCTATCAGTATTTACCTCTTCAGTTGATGAAGTTTGATGTCTATGTCAGGGCACTGATATCTGCTTCGAGTTTATTTCTCACTTCCTGCTTTTACCCTATCAGCCTGGGGAGGAGAATGGGGTTTGGCTGGGGGGAACGGTTCCTAGACGACCTGGTGTAGGATGGGCCGTAGTTCCGTTTCTCCCCCTTGTGCCTTGGCGTCCTGGGTGGCTGCAGAGGTCCCTTCACCGCTGGCATCTGATGCCTCCATCCTTGAATATCTAGAAGGATAAGGTAGGTGAATCACCCAAGTTTTGCAGGTGGCAAGTCGGGAAGAGAAAACATCATTTTCCATTTGGATAGACTAAAAAACAGTGTTTGCACTGACTTCAACAGTGCCTGCTTGGAAGCAGATTTCTGCAGGACACCATGCAAACATTGACAGGGCCTTCAAACTGGGACTCAGGAGGCCAGACCCTGTCAGAGGACTGTGGGCCCTGTGGTAGGGCCTGCTGGAGACCCCTCCGAGGCCTCCCAGCCCAGAGCCTGAGTTCTCTCTGATCCAATGCCCTGGCCAGCAGCTGCAGAGGGGACCAGCACCCATGTTCACCCCAGCCATGCTCTGCAGAGCTGTTCAGGGGTCAACAACTGTGTTACAAGAGCTGTGAGGGTGACCGGCCCAAAGCTTCCCCTACAGCAAGGGCACAGCTAGTCAACTCCCAAGTGAGGCCGGGAGCTGGGGCCTCCTGCCTTCCCAGGGCTGTATCTCCCCTTAGCTCTCTATGCAAACAATAAAACTGGGTTGGATGCCGCGTGCGCTCTGCCCTGTTCTAGGAAGGGAACAACCCAGACAACCGTCACCAGCCGCAGTAGTTCATTCTGGGATGTGCACCCGCCTGGGACCCGAGGACGTTTCCACAAGAGACCAGAATTGGAATCTGTGCCCCTCCCACTAAAGTAAGCCACACCCCTCCCAACGAGGGTGGGAGTCATCCAATCAGCTGGGGGTCTGGGTGGACCGAGAGGCACGAGAAAGGAGAGTTGTCCCGCTCTGCCTGTTTGTCTGCAGCCTGGACATTGGCCCTCTCCTTCCTTCAGAGTGGAACTCCCACCCTCAGCTCTCCTGGGTCTCCAGTTTGCTGACTGCAGATCTTTGGACTTCACCTCCCCTGTAAATGTGAGCGGTCCCTTGTAGCCTCTCTCTGTCCCTCTCGGTACGTGTGTGTTTGTATAAGCACACACATGGCGTGTGTATATTTACAGTCACTCTGAGATAAAAAGTATAGCGAGGTTAACGATGTAAACAGTTACATAGCCATTTACTGTCAGTATCAAGCATTATCCACTGTAGATAATTGCATGTGCTACACTTCTTTTTTAAAATATTTATTTTATTTACTTGAAAGGCAGAGTTACAGAGATAAAGGAAGAGACACAGAGAGAAAGAGAGGCCTTCCATTCGCTGGTTTACTCCCCAAATGGCCACAAAGGCTGGGTCTGGGCCAGGCTGAAACCAAGAGCCTGGACTCCATCCGGGTCTCCTATGTGGATGCACAGGCCAAGTACTTGGGCCGTCTTCTGCTGCTTTCCCAGGTGCACTAGCAAGAAGCTGGAGCAAAAGTGGGGCAGGCAGGACTGGAACCAGTGGCCTATACAAGGATGCCAGCATTGCAGGTGGTGGCTTAACCCGCTGTGCCACAATGCCAGCCACATGTTGTTATTGTTAAATGAGCTAATAATGGGGCCGGCACTGTGGCATAGTGGGTAAAGCCACTACCTGCAGTGCCGGCATCCCATATGGGAGCCGATTTGAGTCCCTGCTGCTCCACTTCTGATCCAGCTCTCTGCTATGGCCTGGGAAAGCAGTGGAAGATGGCCCAGGTCCTTGGGCCCCTGCACCCATGTAGGAGACCCGGAAGCAGCTCTTGGCTCCTGGATTCAGATCGAAGCAGCTCTGGCCATTGTGGCCAACTGGGGAGTGAACCAGTAGATGGAACCCCTCCCCCATATCTGCCTTTCAAATGAATAAATAAATCTTTTTTAAAAAATGCCAGTTGTGCTCCCTGTGAGAAAGTTCCCAGGAAAGGAGAAGCTGGGAGCATGGTGGCCACAGCCATGGCAGGCTAGGGGTGACATTTCTGAGACAGTCTGAAGGGCAGGCCCATCACACGAGCGTCCATCTGCCCCCCTCCCCCCAGTGTCTAGGGGACACAGAGGGATGGCTCAGCTTTCTCCTGCCTCTCCAGGAGAACAGCTTAATCCACTTAGCTGTTTCTGTCCACCACGCCCCACAGGCCTGCAACCCCTGGCTGAGCACCAGCATCTAAAATGAAAACTCATGGCCTCTCCTCGGCCCAGCTCAATCTCAAGAGTTAGAGGTGGGGTGCTTCACCCCAAACCTTGCAGAAGAGGGAGGAAGGGACAAAGGAGGAGGAACCTGCCAGGATGCTGCCTCACTGTCCCGGGGAAACGCTGTGACTCTCTAATAAAGACACTGTTACTGATACTGCAGTCACGACTCAGCGTCTGCCACTTCAGTCTCCTTACAAAGCATCAGCTGCACCAGGGGAGGGAAGAGGGGGCGTGTCCTAATGTCAGGCCCCGCCTCCTCACACAGGATGGTCCCTGTCCCAGTGTCTCACTCAGTGAGAGAAGGAATCCGGAAGAGTTTGAAGTTCAAGGAAACAGACCTGGGCCAGGTTCAAGTGTTTTATTGCCACAAGCGCAGTGCGTTAACACTTGGGCAGATTGTGGAGAGTTCCATTTGCTTGATGACGCATCTTGTCCAGGAAGTGGGGATGGGGTGGGGGAGGGGAGATCCAGGTTCCTTAGGTTTTCAGAGTCTTCCTCAGCTGGGTGCTCCCCTCCCACTGTGATGAGAGCTGTGCAGATGTCAGGAGCAGATGGAGGGCAGGGGTTTCTTCAGATCCACCATGGGTCTCAGTCTGTGGCCCGAGGAGGGCTGAGGCAGGGGGTGCTTCAGGGCAGAGGGGTTTGGGGGCGGGAGGCTGCCAGGGGACAGAACACCTGTGTCCCACAAAGTCCTCCACGTCTGGCCCCAGCCGCGCTCCTGGGGAACTTGAGCTGCAAGCCCCGTGGGACCAGGCGCATTGTTCACCCCCTCCTGGGGCTGCCCTAGTGGATTCCAACCATGTGTTCTCAAGGGAAATCTCTCTGCTCACAGCCAAGACGCGGCAGACCTGGAAGCCAGGGCTGCCCGCCTAACCTGAACTCGCCTGCTGGTTGCCAGCTGGCTGGGAGAGCCCTGGGCACAGACAGAAGAGATGCTGGGCTGCTTCTGCACAGTGGGCCCTGCTGGTCACAATGGGAGACTTCACGGGGTGGGGGGCGCTTGGGGATGCTGGGAAGATGGGGATCTGAGTTGCCTGAGCCCAGGAAAAGGACCCCTGCCCCACCAATCAGAGAGTGCCCAGGACTCTCTCCCACCCTTCCTCAGCTCTGCCCAAGCTTCAGGCCAACTTTCTTTCTGATGCTGCTACAAAAGCTATGTTGAAAGAACAATAGTCCCTCGGCCTTGTCACCTGGAGCTGCATGGGATCTACAAGAGGGAACTGTGCCTTCTCCCCTGACTTCACTCCACCTGGCAGGTGTTCTGCATCCTTCCCCTCCTCTCCCTCCCTTCCTGCTCCCTTGCACGCTGGAACACACTCCCGCACAAGCACCTCAGTGCGCACGCCTCCAGGAGCAGCACAGCTCAGATGGGGCGCGT